CCTCCAATGGTCGAAATGATTTCGACCATTTCGACCATTTCAGATATCCGAAATGATCCATTTCGACTTCATGTATAATAATGATCTCCTGTAGTGATATTTTATAAAATCTACAATAAAATTGCAATGGTTCAGCAACATTTACAATTATTATTTTACTGTCACAAATTTTTGCATCATTTTTTAAAATCTATTTTTTTATTATAAAATTTTTTCAAAATTAATTTATATTAAAATACATCATATTTATCTTTCAGAAAGATTTTGCTAATTGTTATCTAAATATTATTATATGGGAGGTGGTCAGTAAAAAAGAAGGAAATCCAAAATTTTTGTTAATTTTTATAATTAAGCCAAATTTATGCATATGATCAAAATCAGCCAAATGGTCTAATAATATAAATTTTGACCAAAATTTAGATTTCCTTCTTTTTTATTGATCGTCTCCCATATATTGAAAAACTTCTTTTATCTAACCATAATGTAAATCATTTTCTTGACATTTTAAATACAAAAAAAAAGTTAATAAATCATAAAAAAAAGATTTAATATGATTGATAAATATATGAAATACTTTTTTTGTAATAATCTGTTAATTTTCATAAATCTGTTAAATCTGCAGATTTTTGCTTAAAATAGGAAATCACTATTTCAATTCTAAATTATATATTTTTAATATAGAAATTTAATACTATTTTATTATAATATGTGCATATAATTCAGAATTATATATTTTTAACATAGGAATTTAATTAAAACTTATGCTAAATTAAATATATTTAATGTTAATATGTGTATATATTTTTGAATTATAGTTTTTAACACAGGAATTTAACGCTATTTTATAAACATATACAATTAAATATTTAAAATTGACATCTTTTAAAAAGCTAAAAATATATATAAATTAATAAAAGATACAAAGTATATACTCATTACTTATATTAAATCGTGTAATACATGTATTACTAATTTTAAATCTATGATAAGAAATCATAATATTACGTAAAATTTCATACAATTCTGTAACCTTACATAGAATTTCACTGTAATATTTAGTAATTTTATGAGCTTGTAAACCTATATAGAATTTTACGGTAATATTTTATAAATCTTATAATACCGTAATCCTACATAAGATTTCATTATAATGTTTTATAAATCTTACAATACTGTAACCCTATAAAGGATTTTGATTATAATATTATATAAAAATACAATCTATAACTCTACATAGAATTTTATCGTAATGTTTTATAAATTTTACAAACTCATAAACTTACGTAATTTTATAACGTAATACTAGGACCTAAATTATACTAATATAACTCACATTTGAATTTGCGTAGAGTTTATATGTAAACTTTACCAAAATTGCTTATTTACTTATCCTACATACCCAATTATCTCAATAACTAGTGATGCAATTTTAATGAAATTATACCATTGGATTTGTCTATCTGAGAGGAATTTAATGGTAGTAATTTCATCTTTTTAGTATTAATATTGACTGAGTTATACTATACAATATAATTTTAATTGCGTATTTGTATTATATTTGTGAGTTCTATTAGTATAATTCGGGTCCTGTAATATTCCAAATATTACAAAAATTGTAAATTTACAGACTATTATATCGTATTAAATTAGAGGTAATTTTTAGTAAGTTTTTAACTGTTTTTTTTTATTTTTTTTAGGAATTCATTAAGATAAGTAAATCGAAGGTGATTTTTGATAGATCTTTAACTGTTTTTTTATTTTTTCTTATCTTTAAAAATCAAATGTATTTTTTTGAATAAAATATGGGAGCTTTGCAATAGAAAAAAAGGAAACTCTAAAAAAAATCAACTTTTTACTTTCTAAGCTAATTATGATTTTTTTTGTAAAATAAGTTCAGATTTAACATTAACTCAAAAAAATTTTTTTAGAGTTTCCTCCCTTTCTATTACAAAGCTTCCATATAGTTATAATATTATATAACATTATGTCATATTGTCATAATATTATATAAAAATTACATGATTTATCTAATTTCAATTAGCATTATAAAGCACCAATTTGTCTTTGTTGAATTGTATAATTTTACATAAAATAATAAATTTTGTGTAATATATTTTAAATCTAAAAATCAATATTTTAAGACTTTGTATAATATGAATTACCTTTTATGGAACTTATATTTTATAATACCAGCCTGAATTAAGTCATATAATAAAGTTATAAGTCATAAATCTTTTTAAATGACAAATAATTTATGATTAAGTCATGTAAGTCATATGTGTTATTACATATAAAATCAGGTTTTGATCATAAGGGAGATTGGAGTATTATGATGAATTTGGATATTATAATGAATTGATTAAAAAATTAAAAAAAAATGTTTATCCCGTTAAATTTATAATAATACAAATATTTATTTTATTGTATTTTACTAAATATGTGATTTAAATTGTTATTTAATATGTTTTTAAATAAAATAATACATGTTTAAGTTAATATAAATATGAAATTTTTTTGATTTAAGCCACGTTATTTTATTATATTAAAATAAAATAATGCAGCCATATATTAATCGACAAAATAAAATTCATGCAGCACTTGATACATTAAAAAATTATCTTATTAATTCGAAACCTCCAAGTGTAAATAGTGTAGCAAATAACTTTAGACTTAGAAGCTACACTTTGATGAGCTGTAAAAATAATGGTCCGCTTGATCGTTCAGGATTACTAACTATTCTTACTAAATATGAAGAAGAATAACTTGTAGGCTATTGCATTAATATGCAAAAGCTTGGGTTTGGTTTAACAAGATAAGGAGTTAACTATTGTATAATAGAAATTATGTGAATAAATAAGCGAAAATATCTATTTAACAAAAATGGGCTAGGTTATGATCGGTAAAAACGTTTCATGAGAGATCATCCTGAATTATCAATTCGCATTTCCCAAGAATTATCAGAAGCATATGCACAATGAGTAAATGCAACAATTGTTAAAGTTCATTTTGATAAACTTAAACAAATTATTTATGAAAATTTACTTACCGCTACACAAATATGGAATTGAATGAAATTGGATTTGTTATTGTTTCCAAATCTGAAAAAGTTCTTGCTTGAAGAGATGCATGTCAAGTTCATAAAGTGTCACATGAAAATTCTCATAAGCATATTTCGCTAATACCAACTATTTCAGCTACTGGATCATATATTTCACCTTTAATTATTTATAAAGGTGTTTGTACAATTCCTAATTTATTAGAAGGTGCATCATCTGGAACTGTAATGGGTTTTACAAATACTGGGTATATGTGTGAAGAACTTTTTCAAATGTATTTTAACCATTTTATAAAGTCAGTTTCATCTATTTACCTAGTTTTACTAATCTTAGATAGCCATAAAAACCATATTAATTACACATGTGTTGACTTTTGCCAGCAAAATGATAGTTTTCTTTACGTACTTCCTCCTCATACAACACATATTTTGTAACCATCAGAGCTTCCTTTTGCAAAATTAAAGAAGGAATACAATAAGGCGTGTGATAAATATCATAATAATAATAATGCTATGATAGTAACAAA